CTTAAAGAAGTCCAGACGCTTTTCTTTGCAAGCTCCTTTGACTACTTCTTTTCTTCTCAGAATAATGGCATCTTTTTCCTTTAGGTAGCTTTAATGACTTTCAATCCCTAGAAAAAGGTTAAAGGTGGCAGCTTCTCACGCAGCCTTTAAACCATTATGGTTTTCTCAGATAAGCAAATCATCAGTATTTTTACCTTCCATTATTTCTCAACCATGTTCTCCCTTTTGTTTTCCCCCACTCCTTCTGTTCACCTCCTCTCCTGCTTCTCTCTTAACTGTCATCTTTCTCCTTCTTTGTGTGTGTGTATTGTTGATACCCCACCCTATCACCCTACTTCCCAACACTAGACTACGCTGAGCAGCTGCGAATTATGCAGAAGACCAAGGAGAAGCTTGAAATTGCATTAGAAAGGCATCAGGATTGTACGTACCTCTACTCTCCTCCCAATTAGCTTCCTTTCTGTTTCCTGTCTGTCAGCTGTACTAAACATTACCTGACACATTATCACTCACAGAGATGGTTCAGGCTTCCAGATGCTATTATCTGTAGAGGGTTGCTGTGGAAGTGCTTTTTCTTTTCTTTTAATCCAAAGTAGGATTGGGCTTTTTTTCAAACCACTGGTATGCAGCGTTCAGAGCACTGATTCCAGAGCCATGCTTCGTCTGTCACTTTGCTCTCAGTTTGTTCGCTTTTGCTAAGTGGTTTCTCAAATTTGCCAGAAAATATAGCAGCAGCTCCAAAGGCAGACTAATAAAACCAAAGCTCTCACTCACAGTGTTTGAATGTTTGTTATAATAATGGCACACACCCAACATTTGCTACATCCTGGTCTATTAAACCTGGTACAGCCACCTATATATTTATATACTCGCTTGTTGGGCTGTGTCTCTGACATTGTTTTAAGTTACTGTATTCACTGTGATGAACTAAAAACGGGGCTGGTGAGAAATATCAAAACCCTACTAGAGGTGGGAATCACCATACATCCCACGATACGATAT